GATATCAGAGGCAAAATGAAGAACAAAATCCGCTAGAAAAAGTGAGTTTAGATATAGAAAATTAATTTTAAAAACTCGCCTGTCTTCTAATCCTAGGCGTAAGGGCCTCCATTTCTTTGTCTGAAGGCATAGACGAATTTGGCCAATCACCAGATGAAGGCAAGTCTGTTCCATCAGCCTGTATGTTGCTGGTGAGCTGAGCCCTGTTGGAAGATCGAGAATGGGGTTGATCAGTGTCATAGCTTGAAGTCCGTGGCATGAGGTTCAAGTGGGAATCAGCCGAAGGCCGTACAAAGTGCCGCTGATGCAGTATGTTTTTGGTATATGCAAGTTGACGATTAGGCTGTTTGGAATGACGCCTTTCTAGTCGATGTTGCCAAGGCAATTTCGAAAATATCTCTCTCGCGGCCACTGTTTTCCCTTCGCTATCCGGTTCAGCAAGATACCTATCTTCGATGGGCGCGCGGAATGCTGTAGCTGCAGCTGTGGAAGCGTCCGCATTCCGAAGGTCAATTACCTCTAGACGAGACATCTGAGATTCATGGCTTTCACAAACCGAGTAGAAAAGGAGGCCTGCTTGCCAGGCGCCCGCCAGGCCCGTTATCCCACCAGGACAAGCAGGAGGCAGCGATACCCATCTGGATCCTCCAGCTTCAATAGGCGATGGCGAAACCGAGGCGGGACGATTACTAGGACGCTTGTTGTGACGGCGACTGTTTTGCCCTGTAGAGTAAACGCCGTCATATGTAGCATCCCGATTTCTGACTGGCACCTGCGAGCCGAAATTACCAACCCGCCTCCTTACTGCTGGCTTGGAGGGGCCTCGGACTTTAGGTCTTCGGCTAAGTTGTCTGCTGCGCATTAAACTGGACGATTCCATATGGCCTCTGTATCCAGGCGGAGAAAAAGCGGCGGGCGTAAACCTTTTAAGTATTTTCTGCTGTTCACGATGCTCCTCTTCAACGGGCATGTGACTAGCCATAGATAATATTGGAAGGCAAATAAGCACATTTCGATGAGATCCGTTAAGGAAAGCCGTGAATATGCACTAGGAAAAGCAAAAAATAAAAACACTAAGTAAATCGGATTAATAAGACAAAATAAAACAGTATAAGTTGGGTAGTAGTCAAGTTTATTAGCAGACGCTAATTGGAGAAAGAGGAAATAGTACTTCAGGGCTGACGTAGATAACTTGAAAAAAGGATAATTTTGCTGAAGAATATCATCTTATCTTGTTTCTCTGGGGTACTATATTGAATGGGCTGCCATTTATATCTAGTATGGGTCTACTAAGAACCTGCAGCCCGGGTTTAGAACTTAGCATGAACGAGTTCACATGCCTGTTTACCATCACCGAGCCTAATTGTAGAGAAGCCGGTAGATAATCAAATATACATCAATAAATCAAACAGATACTCACAAAAAATACTTGTATTACGATGGTACAAACAACTTGTGAGCATAAGGGTAATAGTGATTTTCAGTTGCACAGTGAAGTTTGAGTTAAGGAAAGACAATAGGGAAGCCAAAGGAAAGACCAAAATGATACCACACGCAAATATTTGCAAAAAAGCCAAATTGAGGCCTGATGAAGTCAGGTTTTTTCAGTTAGGCTAACACATGCACAAAGTACAAAATAAGTTTGGCTCAAAACTTCTGAGTAGTAATTTCTTGAGTCCGTATGAGTTTAAAAGACTTATGTGTATTAAAAAGTTAATTATTCAGTTAGGAATTAATTTCAAAAGCCTAGCATCAGGCTAGATTCATTAAGGCTTAATGAACAAAGGAAGAGCATGGATGAGATTGTGTTAGTCTATAAGTAACTCGGGTTAAGTTGCTGAAATATAAGCTCGTGAATGTGTAAGTCAGGTTACAAAACCACCTACCATCTATGGTCATTAAGATTCAACAAACCAAGGAAAGGTACGACCGGGATTG